ACATAGAAGACTGTTCCGTTAAGATTCTTACATAATTTCCTACAACTTTCTTAAGACTCTGTTGGAGAATATTGTATAGAACGTTCTCCAGAGGATTCATCTACGTTTCCACTGTATTTGTCCTGCGAATTTTTAGAAGATTATTCGACATTACCTCTTTTTTCGACCGATATAACATCCTCAAATTCCATAGGAACTTTTTCTCAACGATTATGGATAATTTTCCCGGTTTTCATGAGCCTTATCACGATTTATGTCTCCACTTATTTTAGTATTTTCCCTTTCCTCCCCCCCCCTCAAATTATTCTACAGAAAATTGACAAGGAGAGTACTGGAAGNTTCCCCCCCCCCCCCCTCAAATTATTCTACAGAAAATTGACAAGGAGAGTATTGGAAGTTGAGCTGGGCGATTCGTTACATGACGCAGGTGAACCTCAAGTAAAATAAACTCGACAAAGTCATTTTATTTTTAATTTATTTATTTATTTTTATTTTTTTTTCAATTTTTAATAAAAAAAAAACTCTCCCTCAATGCAGGTGGAGGTTGGTGATGTGGAAGATCGGGGAACTTCCAGGAGGGATGAGGGATTGCAGGCGAGCCAACGTCCTGTCAACTGGCGGCGCAGGACTTGGCCCCGCCGCAGTTGTTGCCGCTCCGATCTTCTGGTTCTGTTCTTTTCTGTAAGAGAAAATGATCAATGTTTGTTAGTAGAATAAATTATTAATGGAAAAACTGTAATGAATTTGTTAGTTATTCTCACTTATTTCTCCTCCAGTTCTGCTTCCTCTGGCTCCCTCCTTTCCGATTCCCCGATCTACCTCCACCTGCTTTCCCATTTCCTCTCCTCGTCTGATCCCTCTGCTCCTCTTTCCCCTGACTCCTTCCCGCCACCGTCCTTGAATTTTTTTCCGGAACCCGGAAAACCGGGTTCGGAACGACATTGCCCCTCTCCGCTCTTCCTCGCTCCTGTCTTCTCTCCGCCCTTCCTCTCTCCTGACTTCTCCTTGCCGCCCTTCCTCTCTC